GTGCTGGGTGGTGCTCCTGGCAGGGAGTACTCCATAGTGGCGCCACTCTCTCTCAGGATGCCTCCCTGGGCCAGGTCTCCTTCTCCAAGCTGGGCTCCTTTGGTGCCGTCATTCAGGTTATACTCATCTTGTATCCTTCTGGAAACCCACCATTGCCTCTGTTCACTGAACCTGTCTCCTGGGATTGTGGTGGGGAGGTGTGGTGGGAATGATGGGGAAGGGGGCAAGTCTTTACCCACCTTACAGTTCAGGAAGAAGGAAAAAAAGACTTTATTTGAAAGGAAGGTTAGGGGAGAGGTCCATTCCCTTTGAGATGAGGCATTCATCCTTAGGGCCTGGCCAGTTCTTCCTTAACCTCGTGGCAGTTACCTGATGGTATCCTCAGTTGTGGGATTCTACAGCTCTCCATTCTTCCGGAGCCTGCGGCCCAGATGGCACGACACAGCCATGACACAGGTAGCTAGGCGGGAATAAAGGAAGCCTCTTGAGGGCGGGCATGGGTGCGAGTTACTGACAGCTCTGCTACCCTCACCTCCCCTTTCCTTACTCCCACCTAGATAATTGGGAACTGTGTCTGTCTCCTGGTCCTAAGCTCAGCGCTTCCTGTCTTTTCTCGAACCCTGGGTAAGTAGCAAGAGGAGGTAAGGGAATTGGCTTTCTTGAGTACCTACTGGTGCTAAGCATACATTTTATATATATGCTCTAATTCCCACAACAACCTATGAGGAGATATTACCCCCATTATAGAGATGGAGAAATTGAGGCTCTGTAAAATGCCTGTGTTGAGCTTCAGAATAGTGTTGCTATAAAGCTCATATCTTCCCATTAGCTATATCCCACAGCTTCCCCTGTTTATTTCCATTTTTTGGTGGAGAAGCACCATTTTCCCCCAAATCTTCCTGTGAACTGGATCCTCGATAAACATTCTCATCTTCTAAAGACAAAAAACAGGGAAGCTGATCAATTTACCTAGCTATACAGCTCAAGTCAGGCTAGAACCCTTGTCTCTTAAACACCAGTCCAGTGCTTTTTCTACACACTGGGACATGAACAACACACTCAGTCCTTCTCCCACGTTCAGAGCTATCATCTAGAATTTCCTGGTAAAAATGTTCAAAAGTTCAAAAGTAATAGTTCCCCCTGGGGTAGTATGGGAGTTCTCCCTTCACCACATCATGAACCACATTTCCTAAATGATTTAGTATTTACATCAGTTTTGTTTGGTTCTTTTCTGTTCATACTGTCTCCACTGTACCATTGTATTTATGCCATGGGTTTTCAGTAGGAAACTAGGCTTATCGGTCCACTTTAGATTGGATGCAGGTAAGAATATTTTTTAAGTGGGGGATGGCCCCAAAATTTGGACTTGTGATAACATTATTATGATGATTAAGGACTCAAGTGTTAGAATAGTGCCTGCATACTGTGCTTTGTATGTGTTGTTTCATTTAATTCTCACAGTCCCATTATTTTCCCTACTTTATAGTCAAAGAAACTGAGGCACAGAAATTTATGGAATCTGCTGCAGATCACACAATCAGTTAGGGGTGGAGTTTTATCTGAACCAAACCAGCCTGATCTGAGTCGAAGCTCTTTAGCCTCTACATAGGGTGACCAGCTTTTAGGTTTCTGGCCCAGGAACAAGTGGCGGGCCCTGGTTGCTCTTCGGGACACATGGTGCCAGAGAGGGTCCCACTGGAGAAGATGCTGAACTCTGGAAGGGAAGTTGGAGCAAGCCTAGCTGCTGACACTTTCTTCAACAGCCATAACACCCTATGAGAACAAGTTGGGAAGGAGGAATGAATTAATACATAGGAGAGGCCAGCCTGTCAATTGCAGTGTTGAGATGTGGCCACTAGGAGGCAGCAGAAAACGGGGCTCTGAGCCAAGTTGGAGCTGGGGAGCCCATTCCCATACCGGCCTTTGTACTTCAGGGCTCACTCGCTTTGACCTGCTGGGTGACTTTGGACGCTTCAACTGGCTGGGCAATTTCTACATCGTGTTCCTCTACAACGCAGGCTTCGCAGGCCTCACCACTCTCTGTCTGGTGAAGACCTTTACTGCAGCTGTGCGGGCAGAGCTGATCCGGGCCTTTGGTGAGAGAGAGTGGGGGCGCAGGCTAATGGGGTGGTTGTGAGGTGGGGCCCTCTGGAACTGGGGTCATCCAAGCAGGAGAGGTGGCATGCTGTCTGCTTTGTTTGTTACATACCTCATATACCCCTTCTGTGGCTTGGTTGTCTTATTCCCTGAGATTGGGCCTATGCCCTGCTTTTGACTGCCCACCCTCCCTCCTCTCCAGGGCTGGACAGATTGCCGTTGCCTGTCTCCGGTTTTCCCCGGGCATCTCGGAAGAGCCAGCACCAATGACTTCCAGCTGGGGGTGGGAGGGAGAAAACTGGACACTGCCATCTGCTGCCCAGGCCTGGAGGGGTGCCCAAGGGTGGGTGGACCTCAGAACCTGGAATCTGAGAGGGTGGTAGAGGGGAGCTGAGCTGTCTGCACTGTTGCATAATCTGAGCCAGAGTTTGGGACCAGGCCCCCCTGCTTTTCCAAATGTAACTGAGGGCCTCAGCATGGGGTGGGGCTGGGTAACTAGGTCTGGCTCCTGGTCCCAAATCTGTTTACACATCAATCTGCCTCACTGCTGTTCAGGGCCATGCCCGTAGCCATGTTTACATTATTTGATGTGCAATAGGGTGGGGTGGGGACAGGGGAGAAACTGAGCTGGGGGCAGACTTGGAAGGCAGCTTGTCTCCCTTGCCTCTGGCCCAGCAGAGCCTAAGCACTGTGCTATCCTTTAGGGGCTTTGGACCATCAGAGAGACAAGGGTGTAGGGAAGAAGAGACCACAACCATCAGCAATAAAGTTGATCCCAGGGTTTGCTTTGGTTTTTTAAAGGGCCTGTCTCTGTGTCTGTTGAACAGCCTTATTCCCACCAATTCTGAGTCTACCAGCTGAGAAGAACAGAGAGATCCTGCCTACCATCCTTTCCCCTTTCTTCCATCTGCATTCTTAGTACCTTTTAGGGACTTGGGTCTAGTATTAGGTCATACAATTAGGCAGTGAGAACCTCCTCCTCCTTTAGCCTTGCTTAAAGCTGGCTGGTCCCCTGACTTTTGTACTCACAGCTTGTTTCTGTGCTTTGGTTATTGGCAGTAAGTGGGCATGGCTGTAGGAATGGGATAACTTCTTCCTGTATGCACACAGCATCCTCAGCCCTTTCCTCCCTGGCTTGGGTTGGACACAAAGTAAAAGAAGGCTGGCTGACATGGGTTTGTAGTTCCCAGAAAAGAACATAACTCCGTCTTTCCAGAGGCTGTCAGTGCCTAGAAGATTGTGTGAGCCCCCCTGCTGTGCTGGGGGGGGCAAGGACAAAGTTTCTGCTCAAGAGGATACAGATTTGTGTATTGTGCAACTTCTGGAGGGGTATCGTTCACCTTGTAGTCTTATAAACAGTTGCTATGACTATTTTCTTGGAGATGGCAGTTAGGTGTCTTGAGGAAGGAACACTTTTTTCTAATGTACACAAAGTTGCTGTAAGTGCTAGCCATGGAGCTGGGGGGTGGGTATTGAACAGCAAAAAAGTGTGGATGCTACAAATACTTAGCTGAGCACCTACTATGGACCAGGCACTTAGCTGTAGGGATTCATGATAAACAGTTTCATATTTAAGAATTGCTTTGTCTAGTAAGGGTGACATAATTCTAACACCACGATGGTTGGCAGTTCATTCCTGGTTCTCAGGGAAACAGCTGGGCAGTGTCAGGACATCAAGGAAGCCTTCTTAGAGAAAGTGATTTCTTTTTTTAAGATTTTATTTATTTACTTGACAGCACAAGCAGGAGGAGCAGCAGACAGAGAGAGGGAGAAGCAGGCCCGACGTGGAGTAGGGAGCCTAATCTATGGCTCGATCCCAGGACCCTGGGATCATGACCTGAGCCGAAGGCAGACATTTAACTGACTGAGCCCACCCAGGCCCCCTGAGAAAGTGATTTTTTTTTTTCTAAAGATAGATAGATAGATAGATTGATTGATTTGACACAGAGAGAGAGACCGTAAGAGAGGGAACACAAGCAGGGGGAGTGGGAGAGGGAGAAGCAGGCCTCCCACTGAGCAGGGAGCCCGATGTGGGGCTCCATCCCAGGACCTGGGACTGTGACCCAAGCCAAAGGCAGAAGCCTCTGAACAATAGTGAATTGGTGGGTGAAGTATTGCAGGCTCCAGGCCTCTGAGAGGAGACCTGAGTGGTTGGAAGCAGAGCCCCAGGAGGTCCAGAGGGAGAAAGCTAGAGAGGTGCCTAGATGGAAGGTGAAGGGAAGAGCCCCTTAGCCTGTTAAGACTATGACCTTAATTATCCACTGCCCTCCAGAATCTTCCAGTTGACAGGTTATACATTTGAAAAGAAGTAGCCATTGGATGTCTGGCAAGGACAAGACAGGGGGCAGACGTTTGAAGTCCAGAACCAGATTATAACTACAGAGAGCTGTCCCTGATTCTGGGGGAAGCTCTCAGAAGAAGGCTGCAAAGTTACCAGAGAAAATGGTCCCCTGGTACCCACCCCTTGCAGTTCTGGTTACTACTGACAAAGAGAGTTGAAAGTGGGGGAGGCTTTGGGAGGACCACAGAGAAGAAAGTTTCTGGTTGTATGCCCAAAGGGATTGGCTAGCCTTGGGTGGAAACTGGAACCCATACTTCCTGAAGGGGAGCAGAGGACAATGGCCTGCCAGGATAGGCTTTGGGAGAGTAAAGATCCAATTCAAGTATCAGAGGAGGGTGGTTTGGTGCCAAGCTTAGGCTTGGAAGTAGAAGGATGCTTATCCAGGCAGCTAAGGACTGAAAAGCTACTAGGATTTCTTAGACAGGTGCCTGCCTGGTTTCTAGGATGGAACACGCTTCAGTCGTGAAATGGACCAGCGGTCACCGGCTAGAGCCCCCGCCCCGGTGGGAGGGGGCGGGACGGTCCTGGGAGAAGGGCGGGGGGCGGGGCCAGGGGCCACTTAAGGCGGAGCCGGGTTCTGGCAGCGCAGGAGCCGGGCAGCAGAGCCAGGCTGGGCTGGCACTCACCCACGACCCCCCTTCCCTGCTATGATGGCCCGTCAGTAGCAGGTTCCAGACCCCCCGGGAGCATGTAGGCTGAGCTAGCGGCAGCCAGGTGCGCAGAGCCACAAGAGCTCCAGGGCACTCTGGGGGCAGCTCTGCCTGCTGCACTCTCTGGTGCCTGGGGAAATGCCCAACTGACGGGCGAGCTGGTGAGGACAAGAACGTCCCCTTTGGCCCGAGTCCTCTGCATCCATGGCGCTGACGGCCAGGCTGGTGCCCCTGTGCTGCTTGGCACTTTTGGCGCTGCCCGCCCAGAGCTGCGGGCCGGGCCGGGGACCGGTTGGCCGGCGCCGCTACGTGCGCAAGCAGCTGGTGCCATTGCTCTACAAGCAATTTGTGCCCAGCGTGCCCGAGCGGACCCTGGGCGCCAGTGGGCCTGCCGAGGGGAGAGTGGCAAGGGGCTCTGAGCGCTTCCGGGATCTGGTGCCCAACTACAACCCCGACATCATCTTCAAGGATGAGGAGAATAGTGGTGCAGACCGCCTGATGACCGAGGTAAGGAGGACCTCTTCCCACCTGCGCCAGGGCATTGCCAACTCCTGTGGCAGCCTGGGAGGGTAAGCTGGGCTTCATCTATAGACACCTTAATTCCAAAGATCTCCTCTCCCTACCTTTCCACCATCCCTCTCTCCCCCACCAAAAACAAAAAAATAAAAAAACCCTAAACCTGTGCTCACTGGGCTCAGTGATAGGAGAGATTCCAACGGGGAGAAGCTGGAATGGGGAGGGGAGGAGGGACTAGTGAGAGTGAAGCTGGGAGAGACAGCGAGGGCGGGGAAAAGAGGATGGCGGCAGGCGAGACGGGAAATGGCTGAGGCGTGGACCGGGGGTCAGCTACCGAGCCAGGCAGGAAGGGCTGGGGTGAGCTGGGGGCCAGGAGCTGGCGAGGCAGCAGACAGAAAGCTCTACCCTTAGCCTGGCTCCTGACCTGATTGTGGAAAAGATCTGTGGGCTAAAGAGATTGAAGGAGGCTGGGAAAGAGGTGGCCAAGGGTTAGGTCACCAGGCCATGTACCTGAGAAGGGGCCGGGCAGGAATTGTCTTCAGCATGGGGGTGGGGGGGGGATCCTAGAACCAAGGCAAGACTATTCTAGAGTCTAAATGACTGTTTTGGGTGAAAAGTAGTTCTCAGTGGGAAAAACAGATGGGCCCACCTGAGAATCAAAGTGTTCCCACATCCTTCAAGTTCAGCTTAGCTCAGAGGTGTTCCTTGGAATTAAATTCAACTAGCATGTATTGAGCATCTACGGCAACTAGAACCCTGCTGACCTAGGATGAGGTGAGCAATGCCTTGGGAGTGAAGGACCACCTCTGGCCAGTGATCTCAAATGTCAGACCTGGAAGGAAACTTGGAAATCACATTCTTCCACCTCCTCACTTCAATTTTGCGGCTGAGAGCTGGGCCCCAAGAGGAAAAGCGATTTAATCAAAGTCTTAAAACTAATTAGTGGCATGGCTGGGACTAGAATTCAGGACTCCTGATTCTAAGTCTATACACTTTCCATTACACCACCTAATTGTGTATGGAGTGGAAAGGTGGGGGGAGAGGGAGGGGTACGGATTTCCTCTGATTAATTGCCATAGTTTTCCAGGTTACTTTGTTAGGAAAACCTGTCCAGGGGAGAAAGAATTCCTTCTACTACTACTCAGAGATTGGGAAGGGGACACTCCTTCCCTCCTTGGCCATGGAATATTGTGGCCCTTTTCCCTGGCTGCCACCTGCAGCAGAGGGGCCAGAACAAGGGACAGGCCTTGTAGGGGCTCTGACAAGGCCTGGGAACCCCTCCGTCCTGCTTATCTCCCACACCCTGGCTGCAAAAGGCCTCCATTGAGTTGGCTCTGCACTGGGCTGCTGCCCCCGCAGGTCAAGGCCTCAGGGCCTCCTTAGGGGACAAAACGACAAAAAGTTGGATGAAGTTACCACTTTTCCTGTCTTCCCCTCCCCTGCTCTCCAACCCTGCGGAGGTGTACAAAACGCGGGAAGAAGGGAAGGAGGGAAATGCCCCTCTGGCACTTAGGAGAAAACCAAGTCTGAGGTGAGAGGTCGGAGCGGGTAGAAGAAAAGGAAACTGTCCTCTCTGCGCCTCCTCCCGCAGCGTCCGTGGTATGGTGCGCGCCAAGGTCTCCGGCTCGCAGGCTAGAGCTGCCCAGATAACCGCGGTCTCACTCCCCCGGGTTCAGGCTTCCAGCCCGCTGATTTTCCTCCTCTCCACTCCCACCCTGCAGGGGGCCCCCCAGTTCCGCGCTAGGGCAGCTCCCATTAATCTCAGGTGCTACTACCACGCCTTTCTGGGCTGCATCTGGAACAGAGATGGAGAGACGGGGACTCAGGGCTGGTAGAGCCTGAGCTGGAATTGGGAGGGCTGGTCGCACTGGGGGAGGGGGCCCTGGCGGGCGGGAGCAGGCATGGGGGGCGCGGCTTTCTGCCCTTTCCTCTCCCGGAGCCGGGGCGGCTGAAAAGCGCCTTTGTGGATGGAGCTGCTGAGTCCGCTTCTCCCGGCGCGTCCCCGGCCTCGGCCCGGGATTCTCGCTCGGTTAAGTCATCCCGGAGAATGGCCATTGTACTTCGCGCAGCCCCCGCCATCCAAACCCTTTTTCCAGTAGCCTTGATCCCGCACGGCTACGCTTTGGGCACCTCTGTGGAGGGTACTCGCACCACGAAGGGGTTAATGCTAGGGGCCGAAAGGAGGAGGAGGAGGAAGGAAGGAAGGAAGCGATGCCCGGTGCCAGGGAAGGCAACGAAACAAAAGATGAATCAGGCGGAGGGAGGGCAGCCGGGGCTTGGGGCGGGGGCCAGGCCCAAACAGGGGCTCCTCTCGGGGAGCCAGGCATCTCAACCCTCCCTGACAGAGCTTCCACCCGCCCTCTCAACTCCTGCCCTCTCCCCGGTTGAGCCGAGATCCCATAACGAGTGAGGGGCAGGGGTTCAAAGTAGGGAAAGAGTTAGGTACCGGAGCCCTCTCAATCTCTGAGGTGACCCCACAGTTCTCCCACAATGCTCTGAAACGGGAGTGGGTATTGACGACGCCACCTCTTCGGGTTCTCACTTCTCCAGGACACTAAAAAGCTGGGAGGAAGTGGTGTGGGGCCAGGAAAACAAAGAAGAATCGACCCTCCCTTTCAGGTCCCTTTTGCCCCTGCGGTGGTCGTGGTAGTGAGGAGACTGACTCTTTGATTCCCCGCCAGCGCTGTAAGGAGCGGGTGAACGCGCTGGCCATTGCCGTGATGAATATGTGGCCGGGAGTGCGCCTGCGGGTGACCGAGGGCTGGGATGAGGACGGCCACCATGCTCAGGACTCTCTCCACTACGAAGGTCGTGCCTTGGACATCACCACGTCTGACCGCGACCGCAATAAGTATGGGTTGCTGGCGCGCCTGGCAGTGGAAGCCGGCTTCGACTGGGTCTACTACGAGTCCCGCAACCACGTCCACGTGTCGGTCAAAGCCGGTACAGTAGGGGGTGGGTGGTGAAGTCCGCCCAAAGGGGGCTCTTTCCGGGAAACTGAGGCTGCGTAGCTCTGGTGCGACCCTAGGGGAGACCAAGTGGCCGTTAGTGTTGTAAACCATCCTTGTATCTCTGCCCATGTTGGGGCCAGATCCGTGAGAAATTACATATCCCAGGACTGGCGAGGTCTGCTCTGGGCTTGACCCACATCTTTGAGAATCCGTACCAACATCCCGGAACCTCCGGTCTTGATTCAATCATCGCTGTGCTTGTTCCTTGCAGATAACTCCCTGGCCGTCAGGGCAGGCGGCTGCTTTCCGGGAAACGCCACCGTGCGCCTGCGGAGCGGCGAGCGGAAGGGGCTTCGAGAACTGCACCGCGGTGACTGGGTGTTGGCGGCAGATGCGGCAGGCCGGGTGGTGCCCACGCCCGTTCTGCTCTTCCTGGACCGGGACTTGCAGCGCCGGGCCTCCTTCGTGGCTGTGGAGACCGAGCGGCCCCCGCGCAAGCTGTTGCTCACGCCCTGGCACCTGGTGTTCGCTGCTCGAGGGCCCGCGCCCGCGCCGGGCGACTTTGCGCCGGTGTTCGCACGCCGGCTGCGCGCGGGGGACTCGGTGCTGGCGCCCGGCGGGGACGCGCTTCGGCCGGCGCGCGTGGCCCGCGTGGCGCGCGAGGAAGCCGTGGGCGTGTTCGCGCCACTCACAGCACACGGGACGCTGCTGGTCAACGACGTCCTGGCCTCGTGCTACGCGGTTCTAGAGAGTCACCAGTGGGCACACCGCGCCTTCGCTCCTTTGCGCCTGCTGCACGCGCTGGGGGCGCTGCTTCCGGGCGGGGCAGTCCAGCCCACCGGCATGCACTGGTACTCTCGGTTCCTCTATCGCTTGGCGGAGGAGCTACTGGGCTGAATGCGTCCGACGTAGAAACCTCGAGGCGTCTGCGGAAACCCGGCCGTATGGGCTGAGATCTGGCGGTGTGGGCAGCAGAGGATGCTGACTCGGGAAGGCAGGGAGGAGGGGATAGGGAGAAAAATGGACGCGAGACCGGACTGCTTGGTTTAGGGGCAACCTCCATCGGAGCGGAGAGGAGATCCCCGGTCATAGGTAGTTGGGGTCGATGGTGGATACTCCTTGAAGAGGACTATTTCACCTCTTCTTCCCGAGTGCCTCAGCCCCAACCAATTATTTTATTTTATTTTCTATTTATATAAATTGTAATATAATGATCTGCTTGCCCCGCCTGGCAAGGTGAGGGTCCAGGGCCCGGCGTTAACACTGTTTGACACAGCCAGCCAATCTGATGTCTGACATTTTCCTACAGGTGGCCTAATAAAGGGAAGGCTTGCAGGAGCTTATTGGAAAATATCTCTGTTCAGAGGGGGATTCACCTCGAGAGGAGGGGAGAAGGGGACCAACTCTGAGTCAATACCTTACTTCCGACTCCTCCCTCCTTGCCCAGCAGGTCTTCCTGCCTGCTTCCTCCCATCGGAGGGGGCGTCCCAAGTGATCAGCAAAGAGAGCCCAGAGTCGTGTGCTTTTCTAGGCTGCTGGTCCCTTCTCCCACCCAGAGAGGACCAGCATTCTGTCCGCATGCTTGCATACCGAATGTTGGAGGGGCCAGGGTTGTTGAAGGAGCAAGAGGGTCTGCACATGTCCTTTCTCATTTACAGAGGCTCCAGCGAGGTCACAGGCTATTGCATTACTGATACTCAGAGAATTCTGGCCCATGATTGGTAGACTGCAGTCTTGGTCCCTCCCTGAAGGCCCTGAATCAGGTGCCAGGGTCTAAATGGGGGTGATGTTTTATTCTGGGATGTCACTGGATCAACTGGTGATCCGTGGGAATCCCCAGTTAATTTATAACTGATAGTCCCCACACACTCTTGGTCAAGAGAAAGAATGGGATCAGGGGGCTGGAACCTATCTCTCCTGAAGGGCTGGGGGCAGAGAACAGCTTCAAGCCCTGGTGTGTGTGTTTAGGGGAAGATAGGGAGGCTCTCCAAGCAAGGAGCATATAGGCATTACAACTGGAACCCTCTTTTTTTTTTTTTAATTATTTTATTTATTTATTTGACAGACAGAGATCACAAGTAGGCAGAGAGGTAGGCAGAGAGAGAGGAGGAAGCAGGCTCCCCGCGAAGCAGAGAGCCCGATGTGGGGCTTGATCCCAGGACCCTGGGATCACGACCCGAGCCGAAGGCAGAGGCTTTAACCCACTGAGCCACCCAGGCACCCCTGGAACCTTCTTCTTGATCGCCTGTCCTAGTTGTTGTTTCTACTGGCTTCCTCCACCCCACACCCCATCCCTCCTCTTTCCTATCCTCTTCTCCTGGCTCTGCTTCCCCGGGCTGGGTATTCCGAGAACCTTCAGGTTCCAATGCAGCAGATAGGCAGGAACTCAGACAGTGAGGTGCTCCTGAGCCAGAAAGGAAGCTCCGAGGGGGGTGCCTGGGTGGGTTAAGCCTCTGCCTTCGGCTCATGTCATGATCTCAGGGTCCTGGGATCGAGTACCGCATTGGGCTCTCTGCTCGGCGGGGAGCCTGCTTCCCCCCTTCTCTCTCTGCCTGCCTCTCTGCCTACTTGTGATCTCTGTCTGTCAAATAAATAAATAAAATCTTAGAAAAAAAAAAAAGAATGGAAGCTCAGAGGAAGTTGGACTTCAGTAGAAGGGGAATGTCTGGGTTCAGGGAAGAGAAGTTTGGTGGTGAAACCAAGGAGCCAGTCCTGGTCTGTAGCAGCTGTGCGGTTTCAGTCCACAGGGTCCCTGCTATACACCGCCCTCTGGTGGCCGTCAAGATTAGTTCTTTTCCAGACCAAAGAAGAGAGAACTACAGACTGCAGGGATGAGTAGACTGGACCTGCGCAGAGGAGCCTTGTCTCAGGAGGCCTGAGATGGTGGGTGGGGCTTGGTAAGCTGCCAGGGCTGAGCCACAGGTGTCAAGAGCTGGTAAGGAGCCCACACGCCTCTCCTTGTGAAAACCCGTCCGAGCCTGGCATTTTTGCATCCCTCCTACCTGGTTTAGCTTTATGGCTCCCAGAAACTGGAGGTATACTTATAGCCAGATTCTGTGCATGTCCAAGTTGCCACCTCATCTCCCTCACCTTGTGACCCTTGAGTTCAGTGTCTAGAGACAAAACCATACTTAGGCTTCCAGGAAGTGCTTGATAAAGGCAACAGGAAGCGGAGTAAGTTTACCTTACCTTTAGTGTCCTCCCACCCACCATTTCCTTCTATCCCTACCAGGTACCTGCTGCCACCTCCCACCCCTCTTCTGATCTCATGGTCCAAGCTGTGGATCTTTCCCAGAGCATGGCCTGAAAGTCAGGCAGACCTGCAGATCTGATGCCACCCCAGAAGGACTGTTGACAAGATCAGTGTCTGTGCCCAGTGTGGACAAGGCGCTCGGTCAAGGTTTTCTACACTCTGCTCCCATTTCTCACTGCCTTTGCTGTTTTCCACTGCTTGTGTGCTTCTCTCCTCACCACTCCACTAGAAGCAGGATTTATCCATGGTTCCCAAATATTTGGGGGGGTGTTGCCCCCATAATTGTTTGATTTCATAACACTCCTTCAGAAGGTGCTATGTGAAAGATTTGGGCTTGCTTTAGAACTAAAGAATAATTAAAAGTGATCTTGTTTTGAGAATTTACAGAGTATTTTGTGATAATCTCAGCAAGACCTCTCTGCGTACTGGGAAACCAGACTTGAGAACCACCAGTTCAAGGTTCAGTTGACCTTTTTAACCCCTCAAAATCCAGACTCCACACACCCCCACCCAGCCTCTCTTCAAGTCGGATTTACTGGACATCTACAGTGTAGCGCTGCATTAGGCATGAAAAACACACAAAATATTAAGAAAGAGCTCCCTCTGGGAGGAAAAGTATAAGATGTTTAACTACCAAAACAACATTGTTACTTAATCAGGGTGAACTGAATGGGTGGAAAAATGTCATATTAGTACAGAGAAAGCCTTGTGGAAAAAGTAAGGCCTGGCTAGGATGTTGAGGCATGTAGGTGGAGGAGACCAGAGAGGGCATTCCAGGCAGAAGTAACGACATGAACAGGCATTTGGAATCTGGAATCTAGCAAGCTGGCTAAAGTGGGAGATCTGGGAGTGTAACTATATGTAGCTCATGTTTCTGGAGAATTTACTACATGTCAGACCCTGTGCTAGCTCTTTCCATGCATTCTCATTTCCTCCTTATGATAACCCTGTGGGACTGTATTACAGAAAAGGATACCGAGGCAAAGACAGGTTTAAGTCACTGGCTCAAGTGACCGCAGCTAGTAAGTGGGAGACCTGGAGCAGGAATAACAAGAAATAAGACTGCCTTGATGGAAAAGACCGCATTTGAGAGGGAGGGCCTTAAGAAGTTTTTGACTCGATGCATCTGGATGGCTCAGTCGGTTAAGCGTCTGATTCTTGGTTTGGGGGCTCAGGTCATGATCTCAGGGTTGTGGGATTGGGCCCCGTGTCGGGCTCTGAGCTCAGCGGGGAGTTTGCTGAAGATTCTCTCCCTCTCCCTCTGCCTCTCACTTGCTCTAAAATAAATAAACAAATAAAAAGTTTTGGACTCTCCTTCCCTTCACTGAGTCACTAGTAAGTCCTAGCTTTTTGACAGCTATTTCTCATTTTCATTGGCTCTTCTTTCTCCTGCCTGGATCACTGCCTTCCTTAACTAAAGTTATCTAGCCAATAAAGGAAATCCTGCAGATTAGAGGAGAGGGGAGACCACGTTTTGTTATGGATTAAATAGATGCCTCCCCCTCCAAATTCACACGGGCAAACCCTAATGCCTGTGTGACTTTTTTTTTTTTAAAGATTTTATTTATTTGCAGAGATCACAAGTAGGCAGAGAGGCAGGCAGAGAGAGAAGGGGGGAAGCAGGCTCCTCGCTGAGCAGGGAGCCTGATGTGGGGCTTGATATCAGGACCCTGAGACCATGACCCGAGCTGAAGCAGAGGCTTAACCCACTGAGCCACTCAGGTGCCCCTGTGTGACTGTTTTGGGAGGTGAGGCCTCTAAGGAAGTAATTAAGGTCAAATGAAGTCCTAAGAGTAGGGTCCTGATCTGTTAGGACTAGTGTCTTCCTAAGAAGAGACATCAGAAAGGTGCTTTCTCTCTTTGCATGCACCAAGGCAAGGCCATGCAAACGTGTTGTGAGAAGGCAGCCATGGGCAGGCCAGGAAGAGAGTTCTCACCAGAAACCAAATTGGCCAGAACTTTGATCTTGGACTTTTCCAGCCTCCAAAATAGTGAGAAAATAAATGCTTGATGTCTAAGCCACCCAGTTGATGGTATTGTGTTAAGACAGCCCTAGCAGACTAATCCAATCTTCCAGAGCTGTGTGAAGTAGAAAAAAAAAAAATCCAGTGCCAAGATGTGGTCTTTACTTAGTGAATATAATGAACTCTGAAAAGTGAGCATTTCGGACCTAGAGCCTTTATCCCTGACGGTACCTGTGTGGTCTCTACTATTCGAGGAAGCCTTCTTTTCTGGCTGGAAGACTGGAGCAGCTGTCTATTGGAAGAAGGCTATGGCTGGTCAGGGTATTTCTCTGTGGGATTGTGTGGGCAGTTAGCACATTCTCCCTGTTACTGTCTCTGTATGTGAATTGGTTGATGTATGCACATGAACATCTCCCATTAGATGGGGGGGATATCTTCAGGCAGATCTTACTGAGTGCCTACCTTGGGGAGAGGACGGTAAGGCAGGCATGGCTCTCACAGTTCACCTGGCAAGACACAGTGGTCAGATGGTTATTGAATGCGGTGGAAGGTGAAGAGTGATGTTGAAGCTGAGACATGAAAGATGGGTAAGAGTTGTTCAAGCAGAGGGAACGGCATCTTCAAAGGCCTGGAGTTGGGGAGCAAGAGTAAATTGAACATCAATTCAAGAGTATAGGAGCATCAGTAAGCTCAGTTTAGTGAAAGGGAGGCGTGATATACTTTAAAGATTTTCAGTTTTGTCCTGAAGGTGAAAAGCAACTGTAGGATTTGAAAGAGTTGGGAGTGGGAGTTGGGAATCAGACTTGCATTTTAAAAGAGAAACTGGCAATTGGATGGCCTTTTGGGGTCATCTTTAATCCCTAAGTCAGTTGTCCTCCTCTGTGAGTGTGAGCGTTGCAAGTTCTGACTGCAAGTAGAAAATGCTTCCATCCCCACATGGTATGTTATGGGAGCAGACGGTGGGGGACAGCGTAGGGATATTGGAGCAGGGCAGGATAAGATGGGGACAGATTTGAAGGCGATACCTCCAGCCCTGGCTTTGCTTCTCTCCGAAACCT